ACAGTTGGGTTGTTAAATGGTTGAGTTACAAAAATTAACAAATAATTTGAAGAGCTAAACTAAAATTAAATTGTCAAGCCACTTTAACAAACGGAGAATGTAGAACTGAAGTACATTATTTAAATAAACACTGAATATTATTATTTCTAAATCATTACACAAATTATATGCAATTTGTATATATCTGAACATAATCCATAGTATACTCACTTTAATTGCATATTTCAAATGTCATAAGAGAAATCATTTTGACAGAGTCTCAACAGCTATAAATAACGCATACAAAATCTAATTCACTTCAAATGACAATTGATTTTGAATTAAATACACTTATACACACTCTCTCTCTCTCTCTCTCTCTCTCTCTCTCTCTCTCGCTCTCTCTCTCTCTCTCTCTCTCTCTCTCTCTCTCTCTCTCTCTGTCGCCTTTAATCACATTTTATTGTATTCCGTTACTTTTGCCTTTTTTTTATCAATTCAACGCATTGTTGCGACGACTCCTACGAATCAAACGCAACTCGCATACAAACAACTGCAATTGTCAGGCAAAAATCTTTACCCATTGAACAGAGCAGATAAAATTCCATAAAACACCGACAACGAGAAAATTTCAATACTCATTTTATTTTAGTTTTTGTATAATAATTATATAGTTATAATAATTGTTGTTATATTATAATTTCTTTAACATAAAATATATCTAAGCTTTCTTTCAGTCGAAACTCCGATCAGATCGGACAGTAACCACAATCACATTATTTCTTATAATTAGATTTTTTATTTATAGATAAGAAATTTATTATAAAAAAATAAAGCGAATACTTGTATTTGATTACATAGAGAAATATAATACATGCTAAACCCATACAAGGACGAATGATCTAGTTTGATTAAGAGATCCTTACCAATCCAACTCAAAAATTACCTGTTTTTGATCTAGATCTTTCCACAATATTTTTCCACTACTGAAAGATATAATTTTGATTTAGACACCCTCACTAAATTGTTCTGTGATGCCAAAGTAATAGCTAAACTCTATGAGGGTATTCAATCTTCCACAGGCTGCTTTAATCTGTTTCTGCTTGTTTTCATTGTCGTAATTGTCCGAGTTACGCACATTAATGTCAGGCCAGACGGATATATATATATATAATATATATATATATATAGTATTTAGTGAGTATGTCGCACCTCCACATGGTTGTAAACGCCGCCGGCATCGTACAAGTCACAGTCAAGTGGTTTTTTGTCTCCACTCAAGTGTCAGGATAGTCCTCGTCACGAGGCTGCCAGGCGGCCAAGTGACGTAAAGCTAGTTGAAGGACATTTTGTGAGTGTATGCGTGTGTGTCTCATTTTCACTTCCACTTGCTCATTCCGCATTCCGCATTGTTACACATACGTACATGAATATATACAAGGGCATCCTTGTTCGTTGGCTACTAGTGTGATTCCTGCGTCTAGTCGTAAATATTCTTTGGACATATTCAGTCTTGAGCATCATCCTGGTCAGCTGTTGGATTACAATTCTCATCAGCTTATTCTGCTAGACCGGTTTGTGATTAACTTACAATTTATTTATCATGTGTCATAGATACATGTATCCATCTTAATAATAATACGAATTTTGCATTAAATATAAATATAACAAAAAATGTATGGAATATTTTAATATAAATATACGTTTATTAAATTTAGTGTTGTTTAATATAGCTGCAAATATTATTTTTATTTTTTTATTCATATATATAAATATATTCGTGCCATAATTTTAAAGAGTATTAAGTTATTGTCAACAACTAAACTAGATCTTAATATCCGGCCAAAATATATTGATATACGAACTAAAGCACTTGGACTTTTCATTGCTATTTTTCGTTGATATTTAGACTGGAAACTGAATGCCGCTCTTTGCCTTTGAGTTTGTTTTGAAGTGCTTGCCTCACATTTGTTCATACTTTGGCTCAAATTTAGGAGCACCTCCTCTTGGCACTCTGCTTGTGTTACAGCTGTTAGTCAAAGTTTAAAGTGCAAATGCTTCAACGCTCAGAATATATATGGGACGGTGCTTTTTAAACTTAGCTTAAGCTTGTCTTAACTTTCCATTTCATAACTTGGCAAACAAAATTTAAAATTTTGACTTGTCTTAAAAGCTAGGCTATTAACAATATGAACAGAGAAATATATTGTGCCATACAGTATCATAAAATATATAATAAAATATTATAAATTTAGTATTTATCTGTTATTATCATGAAAAGAAGTTTCCTATTTACTTACACATATTGTAAAATAATTTCAATTGATCTCACATTTCTTCTTCAGATAAAATTTAAGTAGGCTCTGAAAATGTAGTTTAAATTATTTTTGCTAACCCCCGGATCCAATTCTAATATTCATTCCGTTTTTCATGCCTGTTCGGTAAATATCTCAACACATTTCTTGTTTGTACTTGAATTTTATGGGAATGTGAGTGGCAATAATTTGAAACAAAATATTTAAAAATTAAAAAAAAGAAACTGTGTGTTCAAAAATGTATTTAACCTTTGCTTTTATTATATGAAGGTTGAAGTCGTTCCTGTAAGAAAAACCATCGACTGCATTGGATTCCGGAAACTTCAACTTAATCCCGAACAAATTTCTGAAGTCCATAAGCAGTCGCTTATATTCCACCTAGTACCTATTTCCGTGAAGAAGTTGAACTAAAAAGTAAGTACTCTATAATTCCCTTCTATTGAATATAAAAAAATGAGTCATTGTCAGTCCATATCAAGATGTGCTGCGGTCCTTGCGGTGGTTGCTATGGCGGATGCTATGGCGGATGCTATGGTTGCTACGGCGGTTCTTACGGATGCGGTGGCTGCTACGGTTCTTATGGATGCGGTGGTTGCTACGGCTGTGGATCCTGCTATGGTGGCTGTGGTTATTGCTGAAATCTTCTTCAGAACGAAATCTAGGTACTAAACATCTAGTACAACAAGCAACAACTCAATGTAAATTATTTTAAAAAAATGTATAATTAAATAAGGAATGGATATTTTACAGTACTTGAAAATTGACTAATTTTTGTATTTGCTGATGGTTTATTAAAATATTATTAAGTAGTGCTATTATGAAAGATAATATTAGTTCTATTCAATAGATATTATTTACTGTATTTAAGAAAAAATAACCTTAATGCATGGCATCAAAATGACTTAAATGATTGGTACTTCAGAAGCTTGTAAAAACAAAGTAGGCTCCAAGATATCTGGTTAGGTTTTAAGACAACATTCATTCACATTTTTTAGGCCAGTTGAGTAAACATTTATTGGTATTTAAATTTTTATTTATTTTTTTTTGCTTAACCTAATTTTCGACAAAAATATATTTTATTTAGCTTATTTTTGAAGGAAGTTCGAATTAGAAATATTTACAATAATTTTCGGTATTGTTGTTATTGTGATTTCACTTCAATCAAGTCAATCAAGATGTGCTGCTCACCTTGCTACTCGTGCAATTACTCGTGTACCGCACCTTGCAACGGCTGCTGCAGCGGCTGCTGTGGCTGCAATGGCAACTGCGGAGGTGGCAATTGCTCTGCCGCATGCTTCAGTTACCCCAACTGTGGAGGCTGTCGTGGACCCTGCTGCTAGGAGCGTCTTCAGAACAAACTCTTCAAATATTACTTACATTTACCAAGAAATCCATTAAAAACTTATAAATCTAAATGAACGGCCTAGAAAATGTTGACGATAATTAGTAATATGAATATTATTAATCGCATAAGCAAGATGTAGATGTATTTCGGATCTTATACTGGTACACAACATTAAACAAATACTTATGATGTGTGTTCATGCCTAAAAGTAGGCCATAAACAATAACTTCCGCAACTCTCACCACTAATCTCTGGCAACATAGGGAATAATTGTGTACAACTATTTTTAAGCTTCATGTAGCTATCAATTGAAATAATAAAATGAAAGCGAAAACAGGTGTTTTATTTTTCTGTATGCGAAAATCGCTATTCAACGCATCACATCCTAAGAAATACACTATCTAGTCAAAGACGTCTTATCCACTACAAAAATTGGTCCTTTGAACCAGATATCATCTGTAGCATTTATTTATTTTAAATGTATATACAATAATAAAGTAAATATTAATTAATAATATGAAGAGTATTATAATAAAATTACAAATATTATTTAATTCATATTTATATTCATAAGGTATGTTCATCAAATAACATTTAGTGTAACATAATTTTAATGCATATTACATCAATTTTTATGACCTATAATTCTAAATAAACTTGTTCTAATATCCCATTCTGATATTGCTATGAAAACAAATTCTCATCGCTGTTTCCGTTCAGATAAATAATATTTAATATAATTTGAAACTTCATCGTTCATGTTGTTTTCTCAACATATTTCAGTTATCACTTTTTCTTTCACAAATAACTTACTATAATTGGTCTTAAGACTTATTCCACGCACTTACTAAGCACGAGGGCATTATGTCATCGTCAACAACTAAACAACTAACACTTAATAGCCAATTGATAGATGAGTTAAAGCACTTGGCCTTTTCATTGCTTATTTTCCGATGATATTTGATCTGGCAACTGGATGCCGCTCTTTGCCTTTGAGTTTGTTTTGAAGTGCCTGCCCCACATTTTTTCAACACTTTTGCTCAAATTTGGAGCTCTTTGCTTATGTCACAGCTTTTGTTGAATGTTTAAAGCTCTCAAAGAGTTGTTCGATATATTGAATGGTGCATTTTAAATTTGGCTTCAACTTGCTTAAGCTTTCCACTTAATTTATTTTATTTTTACTTAACTATTAATTATTTTTTAGAGTTTGGCATTTTAAAACTTATACTTGGGCATTTTAAAAATGTCCCGCTTTTTCTTTTGAATAAAAAAAAGTATGCTCTGAGAATTCAGATTTAAATTTCAATTTTTTTTTGCCGTAGCACCCCGACCCAATTCCGAAATTCATTCAGCTTTTCGACCTTGTCCCGTAAACATTCCAAAATATTTTTTGTTTGTACTTCAATGTGAATTTTGTAGGAATGTGAGTTACAAGAAATAAAAATATATATATATATATGTATATTGTATTTAAATTTTCATCTTTTACAAATTTAGATTGACAGCTTTCCTATAAAATATACAATCGATTGCGTTGGATTCCAGAAGCTTGTAACCCGGGAACATTTTCTGAAATCCATTAGCAGTCGCTAGTACCTGTTTCCGTGAAGAAGTTGGACTAAAAGTAAGTACTCTATAATTCCCTTCTATTGAATATTAAATATGGGTCATTGTCAGTCCATATCAAGATGTGCTGCGGTCCTTGCGGTGGTTACTATGGCGGATGCTATGGTTGCTACGGCGGTTCTTACGGATGCGGTGGCTGCTACGGTTCTTACGGATGCGGTGGTTGCTACGGCTGTGGATCCTGCTATGGTGGCTGTGGTTATTGCTAAAATCTTCTTCAGAACGAAATCTAGGTACTAAACATCTAGTACAACAAGCAACAACTCAATGTAAATTATTTTAAAATTTGTACAATTAAATGGGCTATTTATAGCAATTAAAATTTGAAATCATTGTATTATTTAGAATAGTATTATTTTATTTTTGATTGGACTCTCCGATGCTTTGATCCACAATATCGGCAAGGCTTTAGAAAATATTCATACACTTTTTGATCTTTCAAATTTGGTGACTTTAGCCTTAAATGTAAGCAAAGTAGGCTTTAATATTTGAACTTAAACACAGGAATGATCCCAAACAGATGCCAGGAAATAATTCACTTTACTTTTCGGGCTTGTACAGTTAAAATCTCTAAATTTTTTTGTTGTGTAATTGAGTGTAAAGTTTTTGGGAATGTAAGTGTTAATTTTATAAAAAAATATATATATATTCCTATTAAAAACAAAATAATTTTCGATTTACATAATAGATTGAGTATTTCCATCAGAATTCGAATAGTGTCTATTTCCGTGAAGACTTCACACACTATCCACACATTTCCCAGTCGCTTTCCACATCATTAGTTCCTCCACAACTATCAAAGATGTGCTTTAAGCTTTATCCGTGCTGCGGCGGCGGCGCATCGCCATGCTGCTACCCGCCGCGCTTATGCTGTGGCGGTTGCGGACCCTGCTGTGGTGCCGGACCCTGCTGTGGATGGTGTGGACCCTGCTGCGGTGGTTGTGGACCCTGCTGTTAAGAAAAAAAGTCTTCAGAACGAATCTAGATACACTGTTCACATACACGTGCTGTAAATTAGTTCCCTAATTCCAATAAATAAGAGCTCCAATACATAACTAGGAAAATATATATGTTTCTGAAAAATGTAATTTGCTTCTTGAAGAAGTTGATCTAGTTTTTTATGGAATATTTTGCCAATCGTTTCTATATATAAAGTGTGGATGTTAAATTGATTAGTTATTTATGTAATGTCTACTTTATAAATAAAAATAAAGTTCCGGGGAAATATTCAACTCAGTTTATGCTTCGAGTCTAAATAAGAATGTTTTTCTTTAACAATTTTAAGTTGTCGCCCACAGTATGAAAAATATGAACACTTGGCGCTTCTATGGTGGTTTGCCGATAACTGCCGTCAAAATATATCAAAGTTCGTTATTTTGAGACCGTCGGACAGCTGTTCACAGAATCCATGCAGTTCATTAGTGAGTTAACATTGTGGATAATAGTTTTGCGGTGTTAGCACCATCTTTCGGTAGAGATGGAAGAGCTTTCCACGCTACCTGGCGGTCAAGAGTAGATGGTAGAGACTTGGATAAGTTAAGGGCTGGATAAGTTAAATCATAGTGCAAAAATAGTATCTTCAAAGACTTTACATTATTTTGTACGTATTATGTATTTTTACTTTAAAAGCTTGAAAGGGACCAAAGCTCGGAACTCAATTATCTTAGACATCGGACAAAAAATGAGGAAGCTGTAAGAATGAGGAGCTAAGAAGCAACAACTCCGCTTAAGCAAGGTTGTTAACAGTCACCGCAACAGACCTGTTGATTTAGTTTCCCGCATTTCAATTTAAAATTTTGTATATATTTCAATCTAAGGTGAATAATACAATTCAGTAAATTTATATTTAAGAACTTAAAAAATGAATGAGCAAAGCTAAACAATATTAATTTGTTTAAAAACCGTGCTATTCAAATTATATAAATAAACAGTTTCAAAAATGGAGAAATTAAACAAATAAATATATTAAAATACATTTGCAAATCGAGTGTATTTAATAATTAAAAAACTGCATAACATTTTCGTTGTAACGAAACCAACAAATGTTTTATTTAGTTACTCGTTTCCGGTTCAAGTGGAAATGACCGGAAAAGTTTACATAATTTTTGCAATACTTTATCTTAATTTTACTTGAGTTCTTCTTCTTCTGCTTGTGCATTATGAATTGAATTGAGCTCTCATATTTAATCTGAAATATGAAGTACCTATTGAGCCTGTCACCTTGAAAGTACTTATTTACTTCAATGTCCAATTGACAATTCTCTAACGAGTTTCAAATTGAACTTGTATTGCCTACCTGAAAATACATATATGTATTTGCTGATAAATTGCAGAGCTTGTACAATAAAATAAAAAATAAATAAAAAAAAAACATAGAACGCTATTAATTTGCCTACGTTTGTTAGTCCATTTATTTTGATTTATCACCAGAGCCTAGCACAAACCCTCAATGGGCAATTGGGGTATAATTTTATTTGTCATTTGTATGCAAACACACACAGATACACACACACACACATACACACACACACACACATGTATGTAGCATATAGCATATGTGTTGTTGCTGGTGTTATTACGATTTTTAGCATATTCGATTGTTATGTCTGACAGCGACAAATGTCAAAATGTCAGCCAGTTAAAAAAGACTCGAAATCAGAGCAGAGCAGAGCAGAGCGGAGCAGGGTTGGCCAAAGGGGCAAGGCGAGGGGAAATCACAGCACATGTTTGTTATGCACATATGTAAATATTTCGTTTTATTTGCCATTCTTTTGGAAAATTCGTGAAAATCACATAGCCACATTCCCGAAGGTTGCAGCACGCCTAAAAAGTATGTTTAAAAAATTGTTTGCTCACGGTCAAAAAGCAAAAGTGCCACAACATGTCTATGTGTGTGTGTGTGTGTGTGGTGTGTGTGTGGTGTGTGTGTGTCTATTTGATTGTCTGGCCACATGTGTCGTGTGTGGCTGTGTGTGCCCGTCTGTGTACATATGTTTCTGTTTGCCGAGCAAAACAGCGTAAAGGGGAAACAGCTGAAATATTTTTGTGCCATTTTAATCCACTTTTGAAAATTTATTATGCAGAAACGTTCAAAAATTTTACGCTCAACTTCTACCCGTAAAAAGTGAAGCGTTTTAGATTTCCATAATACCCTGTAACCAGACAAATATGTATAATAATACTAATAGTAATAATACGCTTGTGCATTGGGCAATGAGAAGACATCATCTGTTCTTGGACTTAAAAATGCTTTAAGTGTAAGCAACCCCCTCAAGTTAAAACCAACGATTATTTACTGTAGATAACAGATATTAGACACCCTTGAAGCCCGGACTCAAATTACTGATTGCTAAATACCATTATAAATTTTAAAAACTGACAGATTTCTACTCTAAAGTCCGATTCCGTCGAGTTTTTTGGCCAAGTGTTGAAGATCATAATAATTCGAATAGCTGTGAGTAAGTTTTGTAAGGATAACTTACTAAACAAAAAGTTTTTCATATGAGAAATCTTCTTTTGGTTTCTATGGAACCTATAATATTTAGTTATCCCATCTGTTAAAATATACCAAGTTTCATCAAGGTAACTTCAAGATTGAAGGACTAGTTTGCACTCGGTTAGTGAGGCTGATCAGGAATATATAGACTTTATGGGATCGGAGATGTCTTCTTCTAAAGTTATAAAACACTCTTCAAGCATATACAAATTTATAATGCCAAAAAATATATGAATGACTTAGAACTAGGATAACTGCCTGTCAAGCTTACCAAAACTCTGTTTTTATGGCTATGAAGTTTTTTCTGATTTTCTATTTTCTATTTTTTTATTTATTTTTTTTTGTTTTTTGGTGTGGACTCGAGCCGTCCACATGTTTTGGGTCATAAATCTGCAATTACCAGTCACGCTAGCGCAGAGATCCGGAGAGACTAGTTTCGATTCTAACAGTTCCCCGTTTGAGAATGTCGCCAACTTGTCGGACAAGTGTGATGCATCTTTTTTTATTTAATATTTTGTTGGTAAGCAACTTTGATTTTGAATTCAATCTGTTGCCGCTTAAAGCGTGTCCTTTTGGGGCCAATCTGACACATAAATTATGCCATGCTTGCAGCAATTTGATTGGAGCCATCGCCAAGCAAGTCTTTACACTTAGTTTGCGAGCCAAGCAAATAGGCAAAACTGCGAAGAAAAAAAAAAAAAAAAAACATAAACCAAAAAAGAGAACTTCAAGTTGCCTGCTGCAGCTGGTAATTTTTAGCTATTTGTTTGGCCAAGTCTCTCGGCTCGACCAAAACTCCAACTTGTATGCGTTCACGCTTGGCAGCCAATTCAAGTCGTGTCATTTTGTTGAGTTTGTGTTGAGAGCTGAGTTGCCTTAGCAGCCGACTTACCCACTCCGCACCCTTCTTCTTGGCTTTTGCCATTTCCAGCTTCTTGTAATTCAAATGTCAGTCAGTCACTCAGTCAGTCAGTCACTCAGTCAGTTAGTCAAACGGCACACCACTGTAAGGCAAAGTTGTTGCCAAGCTTACATCACTTGAGCTTGCCAACTGCATCCCTTACTCGACTATCTCCGACCACATCGTAGCTTCTACTATGCCATCCTTGTTGCCTCCTTGTTGCATGTGTACAGGTGGCGTCTCATTTGCCGCCTCTTCTTCGCTCCGAACTTAGCTGGATGAGGCATTCGTGACTTGCGTGAAGCTGCTCTACACAAATAGTTGGTCTTGCTTGCTTAATTATGTATGCACACACATGCATCTATGCATATATGCTTATATATATATATATATATATATATATATATATATATATATGAATCGAAGTAGGTTAATATTTAATTATCAAAGAACTTGCAACTCGTTGAGTTAAGTTTATCAACGATTAGCATAACATATTTTTGAAGCGATGGCAGCGATTTTTTCAAATTATTTCTTTCAATAAAACTACGTTAAAAAGCTGTGTAATTTAAGTAAATTTTCATACTTATTAAATTTAATATTAGTTAAATATTTTTATATACTCGTATTTAAGAAATTCTAATTACTTTTCAGATGTTTTTGCGTGTTTAATTATAGCTTGCAGTTTGGTCTAAAAGGCCCTAGAATCACTTGTTTGTAAATAGATATCATTTATTTATATAATCTATGTATTAATGTATTTAGATAATGTAAGTAATATTCATACTTAAGTAATATATATTATATATTGTGAGTTGCAATTTGTTCCATGACTTAAAGCACTCTTTGCTATTCATGGCATTTTCATAGTTGTAGTTTGAGTCATTTAGGGACAGATCAATCAAGATTTATGTGGCTATGAATTATCTATCGTTCAATGTGTGTCTAAGCAAAAACAGAAAAAAAAATCCCATTAATTAAGTTAATTTGCTGTACGTGTCGAATAGTCCCTGGTCTTAGCCACGCTAAGCATATTAGCTCCCAAGGCCACATGGAGAATCAAGGCTGGCTGCTGCATTCATTTAATTGGCCCGCAATTAAAGTGCGATTTTTATCGAGTTGGAAATTGGCATCAAATTATTGTAATTAGCTGACTTGGCTAGGCGCATCTAATTAGCTGATAATTATATATAGAAATAAAGCCAAAAAACACACAAAACAAATGCAGACTTTGTTCATTGGTCCTGCCTTTATTCCGGCTCCTATTGAAGTCTTGTACATCCAACAAATTTCCATCATGCTTTTGAGTGCCGGGCCTTTTCACTTGCCACTTGCAACCACCCCTCCTGCACTCGGCCACCAACGGTGGCAACTAATTTACCAGGCTCGTTGCCTAAACCACCCCCCAATCCTTCACCCGACAGAGAAGAAGGCGGAGGGGATGCAAAGTGACTGCACAAGTAACAAATCAAACGAGTGCTTTTGTAAATTACATTTGAATTATCCTCTCTGTGTTCTGGCGCGTGCTTGCAACACTCCCCTTTGCCCCCGCTCTCCCTCTCTCTCTCTCTCTATCTCTCACTCTCTGTCTCTGTCTCTCTGTCGCTTGCTCATGCATTCATTCAGTGCTGCGTTTGTGCGGCGATGTGTTCTTTTTT